GTGCATGTGATAAACTTGTCTTGTGCATGTGATAAATTTGCCTCGTGCATGTGATAAACTTGCCTCGTGTATGTGATAAACTTGCCTCGTGCATGTGAAAAAAACTTATCTTGTGAAATGATAAACTTGCCTTGTACATTTGATAAACTTGTCTTGTGCATGTGATAAATTTGCCTCGTGCATGTGATAAACTTGCCTCGTGCATGTGATAAACTTGCTTCGTGCATGTGAAAAAACTTGCCTTGTGCATGTGATAAACTTGTCTTGGGCATGTGAAAACACTTGCCTTGTGCATGTGATAAACTTGTCTTGGGCATGTGAAAACACTTGCCTTGTGCATGTGATAAACTTGTATTGTGTATATGATAAATTTGTCTCGTGCATGTGATAAATTTGTCTCGTGCATGTGATAAACTTGCCTCGTGCATGTGATAAACTTGTCTTGGGCATGTGAAAACACTTGCCTTGTGCATGTGATAAACTTGTCTTGTGTATATGATAAATTTGTCTCGTGCATGTGATAAATTTGTCTCGTGCATGTGAAAAAACTTGCCTTGTGCATGTGATAAACTTGTCTTGGGCATGTGATTATTATGTGCATTATGTTAAAGCGGGAGTTGTCACTTGTGCAAACGGCAGGTCGCCATAGCGCGTCACTGTTTACGAATATGCGTCTACACATACACGTGCGTTGTTATCGTTGCTTAGAGCGCAATTTCCGCGCGTGCGCAGGTGGTGACCCCTTTGCTTTAAACAATGTCAATATCATCGGACACACAACAGATTCTTTTCATATTCTTATTTTACTACCACGGCTACCACTCTTCATTTAAATTGGACAAGAATATTATGGCGTTATCGTTACCTATAAGTGGAATTTCATCGGACGTCCTCGGCATCATTTCGGCCACTAGCAGAAGAAACACAGTGAGCGAGAGGATCAAGGTCACGCTCAATGACACTTTCACAACACCACGTCATAGGGCATGAAAAATCCTAAAAGTGATAGCGCCGACAAGAGAACACATGGCATAATCAGATTGTAAATATAATACAAGGGTTTCCGTTCAAGACCAACTAAAAACGTTACATCGTGGTAAGTATCGGGACAGCATTCGTATCGCATGCTGTGCCTGGTGGTAATCGCGTACAAAAGATCCCATTGTTCATTGGGAACGAGGTTAGTTAAGTCCGGCTTCACGGCATGCTGATTAAGATTTATTTGTTCTCCGTTATACGTCCATGAACCGAACTTAAGTCGACATTGTTGCTTATCGAAGGGGAAGTATTTTACATCAATCTTGCATGTACTTTTTAGAACTGTGGGTCTCGACCAAAGACTGACCCATCCATTGTGTTGGACCAGGCAGTTGGAAGCCTTTATACTTTCTGCATAGTCATGTGCGTCGGCGCTGCAGAAAAAGAAAAGAACACACTCATATTAGTTCTAGTTAACTTACAGCTCTTAAAATGCTACAGTGGGCTGTAAACTATCAGGATATCCACAAACAAAATCTACACACACTCACTCATGTATAAAATATAGTTATTATGTTCATCAATATGATTGAAGGAAATTGCGCAGATACAAATATTTCCCAGTCGTCCCTAGACGACCTTAACCATCAGATAGAGACGATGGATATATGCCTTACTAAAATAACTCTAGTTCCTTCTTTACATTTTTGTAGTTCACTTGAGCGCAGTGTCGACACAAATAGTCGTCATGTAACAAAAATGTAAATGTGCATCACAGCCCAATCTTAATGGGAATTGTCTCACGTTGAATGTTTCACTAAGATGGGATTGGACTTGTGACCATTCCGTGAGTTGATAACGTCCCAAAATGCAACAGATTCGTCACAACCGGAAATCCTCCGTCATATCTAGAAAAGACCGTAACTGGTGCACGTGGTATAGGATACATTGTGTTACTCATGTCAGTGAATTTCAACAAAATATTCAGTTTTAATGTATCAATGCACTTAAAAAGTTATTTGATTCAATGTAGACACTATAAACATATTATAGCAGCTGTTTTGTACGACGTCTGTGTAGTTGTAATATATATATTACGGAAATCAGCTTGTCGGACATAATAATCAATGATACTGTTACACCAATATATCACTGCACATGCGCCATTGACTGTTTTAATTTATGCCAGACACTATAAATCATGTTCACGATGTTTCTAAAATTGTTCGGTAATAAGAATATAATATAGAGCTAGTTATATATTTAGTTCATAAATCATGGCAGTTATGAAGCTGTGTCATAATTGTCAGTATCTCTATAATGTGTAATACAAGTCCAAGAAATCGGATTGGTCATTGCAGACACTTTG